GTTTTTAGCAAAACGATCGTTTCACAGCGTTCGTATTAGCAGATGTGAAACGCGTTAAACCGGTCAGCATTAACGCGTTTCGAAACTATGGAAAAACGCGTTTTGAGAACGCGTTTTTTTCGCAGGAATTTACGCCATGGGTACCACCACGAGATTTAGCTAAAAAGAAAAAAAGAAAAAATTCTCTTTATTACTTTTCTTTTTATCTTACCAATTGCATCTAATTCATCAAAAAAAAGTACGCATGGTGCTGCTTGACGAGCTTTGTCAAATACATCACGGACATTAGCTTCTGGTTCACCAAACCACATAGTTAATAATTGAGGACCTTTTACCGAAATAAAATTTGATTGACATTCATTAGCCATAGCTTTTGCTAATAATGTTTTACCTAAAATAAAATATTAAATAATAATCAAAATAGAAGAAAAAAATCGATATCAACTTACCACAACCAGGTGGTCCAAAAAAGAGAACACCATGTGATGACGTCGTATCAAATTTGAGAAATTTTCTCGGATGTCCATCATAATATTGAACATGTCGTTGTAATTCATGTTTAACATTTTCTAAACCACCCATATCTTCCCATGTTGTTCTTGGTTCTTCAACAACTATTTCATGTAAAGCTGATGGATTTGATTGATTAAGTGCAAATCGAAAATTCTCTTGTGTAACAACTAATGAATTGAGTAGTTCAGCATCAATTGTATCTTTTTGTAAATCCATGACATTCATTTTTTCTCGAATTTGTTGTAAAGCAGCTTTTGAACATAATGATGCTAAATCCGCACCAACATAACCATGTGTTTCATTAGCAATTTGTACAAGATCAACATCATCACCTAATTTCATATTTTTTGTATGTATACAAAGAATTTCTAAACGGGCAACAACACATCAGGAATACCAATATTAATTTCTAGATCAAAACGACGAAGTGCTGGATTAAATGAATTTGGTCGATTTGTTGCCGCCATAACAATCACATGTGAACATTGTTGAATATCATCCATTAATGTTAATAATTGTAAAACAAAACGATGTTCAATTTCACCATGACTTTTTTCACGCTTTGGTACAATTGCATCAAGTTTATCGATGAAAATAATAGCTGGAGCATTCTAAAAACAAAAAAAAATTATTTAAATAAAAATTGTATTATAATTAATATACAATTAACTTCTTCAATTTGTCCTCTTAATTTTCTAGAAATTAACTAGTAAATTAACTTTACCTTTTTAGCTTTTTCAAATGCTTTACGTAAATTTAATTCAGATTCACCAGGTAATTTAGACATAATTTCCGATCCATGGATTAAAAAGAAAAATGCACGAGTTTCATTAGCCACGGCACGTGCAATTAAAGTTTTACCTAAAATAAATATTTTTCTTTTTCTAAAAAAATGCTCTATTATTTTTATCATACCTGTGCCTGGTGGTCCATATAAAAGAATACGTCGTGGTGGTTTAACATCAATTGTTTTGAATAGTTGTGGATGTATTAATTATAATTCAACCATTTCCTTAATTTGTGCCAATTGTTTTCTAACACCGCCAATATCATCACAACCAATTTCATTTAAAGATATTTCTTCTTCTTCACGTTTAATTGGATTATCTCCACAATGTATAGCTGTATTTGGTGCAACAATACAGTAAGGACTTGGTTCAGTTTCAATGACTTTAAATTCTACAGCATGCATAGCTGCACGTACAATAAAAACATCACCTTTATGTACTGGTCGATAAGATTTACCAACAAAATATGGTTTTAAATAAACTTCCAATAGATTGCCTGTTATTCCATGTACAGTATCATCAACAGGTAAAACTTGTATACGTTCACCATCTTTAACATCTTGACAGCCTTCAATTGAAACAATATCACCTAACCGTACACCTAAATTATTTCGTACAGCACGATTCATTTGAATACGATTAGTTGGACATAAACCAATGTCAACGGCGCAAACTGTTTCTTGACGACCTCGAAGTATAACTGTAGCACCTGTATATAAATTTAATTGTTTCATTTTTTGAAATGATAATGCAATAACACTATTATCATTTTTAATAGCGTCATCGACGATTAATTGATTGGGCTGTAACATTCTCTTAACGTATATTTGTGTACTAACTATATGTGCTATCTCTCTACGCGTAGATATAGGTCCTTTTTTTTTTCTTCTCTTCTTTATTTCTTGTGCAATATCTATCTATTTTCTGTTTCGTACACATGTCGAACATTTCTTTCCTTCATAATAAAAACCTCGAAATTCATATTTGATTTTTCGTTCTATCTCTTTCTCTTCTTATTTCGCAGTTGGAAAAAAGATGTCTGACCGACGTCATTTGCTCCACTTAATGTTTAAACTAAGTTCATGTAAAAGAATGTACCGAGATTATCTTTTTCGTTTTTGTTTTCTCTCTATATATATCCCCTAGAAAAAAAAAATAGTTTTACTCTGTATTTCTCATTTATTGTCACCGTAAAAAAAAAACATTTATCTAAAACTAATTACATATTCTGAAAGCCCGTGGAGTTTTCTATCATCCTATATATTTACTTATTTTTTTGCATTCATTTATTGAAAAAATAATTTGAGCTCAATGAAGATACCCTCATGTCCAGATTCCCACAGATTTGATTTTTTCTTTGTCATCAAAACTAGTTTTGACAGCTTTTCATCACTATAGAATGGTCTTTTGAAAAAAGTAATTATATATTCTGATAGAGCTTGAAATTCTCTATCACTCTGTATATATTTCTTTATTTTCTTATATTCATTTATTGAAAAAAAAATTTGAGTAGAATGAACACACCGTCAATCGACAAGTACAAAAAAATCTGTATTTTTCATTGCTTCTGGAGTTCTCTTTTTGAATTTAGTATTCCTATATGAAAAATTGTATTAAAAAAAGCAGTCATTGATTCTGATAGAGCTTGAAATTCTCTACCATCCTATTATACTTTTGCCTTGCCATGCATTGGTATGCTACAGCACATAGATGCAAGGCAAGAAAAAAGTGTATCGGATGATAGAGAATTTCAAGCTCTATCAGAATCTATAATTGCTTTTTTTTTAAAAATGTATTTGTATAGTAGCGATATGTTGAGAAAAACGGAGAAAAGTAACGATTTTTGGTACTTGTTGATTGACAGTGTTCATTCTACTCAATTTTTTTTTCAATAAATGAATATAAGAAAATAAAGAAATATATACAGAGTGATAGAGAATTTTATGCTCTATCAGAATATATAATTACTCTTTTCAAAAGGTAATTCTATAGTGATGAAAAATTTTAAAAATTAATTTTGGTAACAGTGACAAAATCAAATCCTTGGGAATCTGGACATGAGGATGCCGTCATTACACTCAATTTGTTTTGTTAATACATATATTTAAACGAAAAGGCAAATATACAGACTGATAGAAAACTCCACGCGCTTTCAGAATATATCATTATTTTTTAAAAAATACGCTGCTATGATAACGATATCCCCCGAATACCGACTGCAGCTTATTTTTTCCAGGCGTATATGTCAAAGGACAGAATTTCGAGATAAAACTGTGCTCATATATAGCTAGAGTAGCCTGTAGAATATCTTGAAACTTTCAGTTTTGTTGAGATATCAAATTTCCAAGAAAAAAAAACAAAAAAAAAGCATCGCGTGTCATAGGCATGATATAAAAACCGAGTCTATTTAAAAATTCAATATCTCCACAATTTAAAGAAAAAAGTATCCCCAATTGTTTATGTTCATATTATTCAATGTAAAAAACTCATTATAAAAATCAATCATTTTTATTCGAATAAAATCAATTGTAAATATGAATTTTTAATAATATTTGACATTTGTCGGTGATGATATGAATTCAATGATTAATAAAATAAAATCTATCGACCTTTCTCTAATACATACTAAAACAAATTAGATGTTATAAGAAACATTTTATTGAAATAAAAATAATAGAGTTCAAGAAATATAATAACATTATTAAATATTCACTTGTGCTTTTTGTAATTGAAAGAATGTTATCAGAAATCTGTTAATTCTTTCTAGAAAGAATAAAAAAATAAAAATATCATATTTTTTTTTGTCATCGAGTTTATCATATCACCGTGTCCGGAAAGTTTGTAGAACTCATATTTTATGAAGCAATAAGATAACAATTACTGCATTTATTGAATGTAATAACCTTCGCTAGCAACCACATGTTGCCATCGGTTATACAAACTTTGTATTCCATCGAAAAAAAACCCTGAACCAAGATTATTTAAGTGCTCCTCAACGGTCGTTATCACTTCGTCATCAGAGTAAAAGTTCTTGCCACGAAGAAATGCCTTCAAATTTTTGAACAAGTAATAGTCACTAGGTGCAATATGCGGAGAATAGGCGGGATGATTCAATTCACCAAAATTCGCCTTACGAATAGCAGCTTGGACGACGTTGCTCTTGTGCACAGACGCATTGTCATGAAGAACTAGCACTTCATGATTGATTTTTCGGTGACGCTTCGCTAGAATAGTG